ACCTCAGGTGGCAAATGGGGGGCCATGTACTTTTCTATATCACCTCTATTGCATCTGTCACTCCTAGCATAGCTGAAGAAAGCAGCCTTTATTAGATGTCATTGAAGGAAAAAATCCCCATGAAACAAACAAACAAAAACAAACAAAAAATCCAAACAAGAAAAGGCAAACAAAACAAAAACCAAAATCAAACCCAAAACTCAAATCAAACAAAAAAAAAACAAAAAAAAACCCAAACCAAAACAAAAAAAAAACAAACCCAAAAATAAAAACCCAACCAGATAATAAAAACACACAAACCCAAACTACCAAAATCATTACTAAAATCCACCTTCCCACTTTCAAGCATGAGATAGTTTTGAGGTTGGATTTTTTTTTAATGCATCTGAGATGTTATTCACTTACACACACACATTTTCTTTCCAGTTTGGATTTGGTAGATACACTGTGGTCCAAAACAAAAGCTGCATCCCCTTCAAATTTCTGTTTTAACTCCTTGCTGCACTGTAAGCTGAGGAGTATTTGATAACAACTTCAAAAGCTGTGACTCACTGGACCCTGGTGAAAGGGTTGGTCTTTGATCTCAACAGCCTTACCAAGGTTATCTCAGGTGAGCAACTGCCCAGGTTTGCTGGTTCCACACATGCATGGGATCCAGCAAACCTGGGTCTCCAAACTCACCTCTTAATGAGCTAGGCAGCATCCTACTTGCTGTGCTGGTTGTACATACCCAGGTTTGCTGCCCAAACAGCCCTTGTTTTCACTTTCCTCAGAGGACAGTCCAGACCTGCAGAACCTTCTTCAGGCAATTCACTGTTACAATACAGGATGATGCTGGATGGTGCTTTGAGCAACCTGGTTCAGTGAAAGGTGTCCCTGCCCACAGCAGGATGCCTGGAGCTACATGGTCTTTATGGTCCCTTGCAACCCAAACCATTCTATGATTCTATGAATATTCCTCCTGGCCCAGAGGCTCTGGGCACAGCTCCACATATTCTTAGCTGAATTTTTCTCCAGCTGCTCTCTCCTGACTGGCTCCTCCAGCACCCTTCTGGGAACACTCTCCTTAAGGGAACTTGTCTCATAGAACAAGACACAAGGTCACTGCATAATAATAATAATAATAATAATAATAAAATAATAATAATAATAATAATGATGATGTCCAAGTTAAACAGCTGCCTTGCCCCTACTGGGACAGAGTTGCCACATTTGAACTTGTATCTGTTGAGGTGCTGCACTAGACTCGTCTGTAGCCAACATGAGACAGAAGCTTTGCATCTTTTCATTTACTTTTACAAGCTGTGCTGCCCATTAAGATTTCCACATGACCACTTTACTGAGCAATTTAAATCAGAGGAGTGCTTTCATTAACAAGCTTGATGAGTTGATTTGTGCTAGACTCCAATCACTAGAATCCTATCTGTGTGCAACGTAACATGCTAGACATGTATTTCCTCTAGTGGCAGAGGTAAAGGTTATTGTCCTACTTTAAATATTTGGCTTTTAACTCTTTCCACTGTACTGATCATGGAAAGACCTCTTCAATATAGATTAATTTTGTACAACCTTCTCTGAGCTCCATGTGTGTTTTGAGCTTCAGGCACCAGGAATGCAAGAACTGCAGGTATCTTGAGAGACAACGAAAGCCATCTTTTGCAGCAATCCACTCATATGAAACTAAATGTGCATCAAGGTCTGCTTCTGATGGATATTTCACTTCCACAGTCTCTTGCTTCTTAGTTGTGTAACAGTGTTTTTTTCACAAGTGCATACCCACTAGTCATAACTGGTAGATCAATTATCTTTCTCTCTCACTGACAAGAGATAGATCCTACATCCTCCATCCCATTTAACCACAGTCTTCCCTAAAGACCACCTTCACCTGAAAGACTTTATCTGTTCAACACCTAGCATGTGGCCAGCAGGTCAAGTGAGATATTTCTGCCCCTCAGCCCCAGTGAAACCCAACCTGAAGCACTGCATCCAGCTCTGGAGGCTCAAACATAGGAAGGATGTGGACCTGTAGGGGTGAGTCCAGAGGAGGGTCAGGAATATGACCAGAGGTCTGCACCACCTCTCCTGTCAGGACTGCCTGAGAGAGTTGGGATTGTTCAGTCTGGAGAAGAGACTTTATGGCATTTTTACTGTACATGAAGGGGGCCTTCAAGAGAGCTGGAGAGGGACTATTTACATGTAGTGATAGCACAAGGGGGAATGGCTTCAAACTGACAGAGGGCAGGTTTAGATTAGATATTAAGAAAAAATTCTTTACTATGAGGGTGATGAGGTGCTGGAACAGGTTGTTCTGAGAAGGTGCGGATGCCCCATCCCTTGCAGCGACCAAAGCCAGGATGGATAGGGCTTCAAACCAACTGGTCTGGTGGAGGTTGTCCCTATCCATGACAGGGATGTTAGAACTAATGGCTGTCCCTGTCCATGACAGGGATGTTGGAACTAAATGGCCTTTAAGGTTCCTTCCAACCCAAACCATACTATGACTCTCTGATTCTGTTTGTTTGATCAAACAGCATATAGGAAGGTCCAGATGTACCCAAGAAAGCAGCCAGATCACAGCTCCTCTCTGCATATATTTAATCAAATCTTCTAACAATGCATCCTGTACTTTCCCATTATTTAAAATGCTTCATTTCATTAAGCACACAGTTGAGCCTCAGTCATCACCAGCAGTATGTGTCCACCTCAAACCATGTGTCTTCAATTGCTGTGCTTGGCCACTTCCAGCCTCCATTTCCCCAGTGCACAATACTGCAGGCATCTTGCACAGAGCTCTCATTTTTCTGACAAGGTCTCAGTCATTAGCCTGTTATCTGCCTGCTCACCAGTTGCACTCCTGACAGTCACGCTCCATTACCTCATCCATATTGCTGTAATAATTAGCCTTCCTGTTTACAGGCATGAACAGCATTGCTACAACATGTGCACAGCTCAAGAAAAATTCCAGGCAAGTAAAACCAGAATATATCCCAACCCAATGCACAAACAAGAATACAATAATTGTTTGACCTCTTGTATTGGATAATGCACCTCTATCAGCAAAGATAGCAACACTGCCTTTGCTTTGATTGTGTTTCACATTTGCTACATGATCCTAAGGAAACACATTTATTGACTTATTTATAAAAATATCTGCTTTTACATGAGTTGAATTTTCTCTTTGTTTTCTTCACTGTGTTCCAACAGCTCTGTATCAGAATACAGAACTTGAAGGAGCATCCTGAATGATCACTGTATCCGGTCCCTTCCTCTTGCAGCCACAGCCTCATACTATTCCTTTCACAAAGTATTTTCCAGCTCAGCCTTAGACATGGATTTTTGCCCCCACTACTGTGGAGGGACTTTCAAAGAAAGCTGGTTCAGAACCTCACGCTTCTGATGGTTGGGAATACAAATTGCATCTTCACTTTAGGTATTGCTCTTTAATAACTATTTGTTCACAATCCTCTGTTGACACTTCTCTCAGATTTGTCCTTCTTGTTGGGAACTTAACATTCTTGTCTATTGACATGCTAATGTTCCACCAGGTTTATTTTGTTGGGCTAAAGAAACAGTGTCCTTTTATGACATTGTTTAAGAAACACTGTCTTTTATGCCCTCTACATTGGCATCAGACTCATCATCCTGTCTGTGACTGTCCCAGTATGACTTAGTCTTCCCAGAGAAAAGACTGAAAGTTTACACATTTGTCCTGATAATATCTTGAAGAGTTTCGTCACATGATCCATCCTTCCCTGTCTTTGTTGAAAAGCTACCCCTGATCATTATTCCTCTTTTTCTTCCCAGCTGACTTCACTTTTTTCAAGCCGCCATACCACAGCTGAACCATCTAAGCATTCACCATGAGATCTTGGTTTTCAGGGATCATTAGCAAAACCCTGCTGAACTTACAGAAGGGAAACAATTTTACATTCTGAATTTTGATCAGTGGCTTCAGCTTCCTCCCACCACTCAGACCATGGCACACAAAGAATAACCTTCTGTAATTATGAACAAAACTCCAGCAAGTTCAGGACATAAACACTAATTCATCCTTGCACCCCATTCACCTCTCTCAGCTCTTACATGTTTGAAAGACTTTTTCAAATCTTTTCACCTTCAGTTGGTAAAAAAAACCCTGCAGTGTAAAACAGATGAAAGCTTCAGTCAAGAAACACTGGTGGGTGTTTGAGCTTGTGCTTCTTCCCCACAGGAAAACACAATTAAAGCTGATCTGTTTGCTTCTGGATTACAGTTCCATAAGAATCCCCTTGGAAATTTCATTGCAGAAACAGTGCCACAGAAAACATAAACCAGAATTTTCTTCCTCTGGCAAATTTCATTTAATGCAGATTCTCTACTCCCTGTATCTTAAGAAATTCCTTCAGTTTTCACTTGCCCTTAATGATACTTGAATAAAACCAGTAATTTGGCTTTCAAGCAAACAGCCTGTGTGGGATGTTAGACTGCAGCAAATTGGCCTTTCTAAAAACCCCAACACACACAGTAGGTTTTATCACCAATTAAATAAAGTACTTGAGCCATAACTGGACGTTTAGCTTGGAAAAAACAGTACCTTTGCCAGTACTGTGAGAAGAAATAAAAGGGAGACCTCTGTAGAGCTTTCAGATTTGTGCAGCAGTTTCCTAGACTATTTACTAGAAATCATGACAGACAGGGAAAGATTACAGGTCCATCTGTGTTAGCCTTTTAGTTCAGATCAAGAGTGCCCTTTTGAAGTGAATCTCCCAATTTTTTCCATTTACCACATTTTGGTTCACATGGCTGAGCAGTCCTGTAGAACACAAACTGGGTGTCATTCAAATAAAATTTACCTGTAAGAAGAAGCTTTCCACAACTGCCCACAGGGCGCTCCAGTCACTGACAGATGTGGACCCTTCAGGATGAGAATAATCCAGAGCATATCCCCCTGAAAAGTGTATCTTTCCTGCTGAGTCTGCCGTTGCTCTGCAGATCCCCCACTACTATTCCACTGCACTTACTGATGCAGGTGGACAGCCCAGGTCAACCCAGATGTCTTGCTTCTCAAGCATTTCCTTCTACTGCTTCGCTTCATTGCTGTGAACTTTCAGAAATTTCAGGGCTGGAATTCAGCTATGCCTCAAAATGTTTAGGCTTTTCTTCAAACGAATCTGTGCCTATTAAGGCAGCAAAACAGGACTAAAAGTACTGTATGTATTTACCCACTTGCCAGAAATGTGGCATTTCTGCTGGATGCAACATGAAGCAGACACTTCTGAAGTTTCAGCAATTCTCCTTGCACACCTGGAAAAGGAATAAACAGGAAGCAATAAGCCAGAAATCACTAACATCCCTCAATCTGTTTGGCTAGAAAGAATCATAGCACACAGTGAAGTTGGAGATGCATAAGCCTGCTCATCTTCTGGTCCCAGCTGAAAAATATATGGCCATGCAGTGCTTAAGATCAGCCTGAAGCCTTCAAATGCTGAGAAGACTTTCTGTATTCAAGCCAACCAAATCCCTTATGGGCATCTCTGAGCACCCATTTGGCTTGTGCTGTGCTACATTTGTACCACAAGGCTCAGAGGGATGAATGTACATTCTGGTGGGTGTAAGACCACAGCAGGGACATTTCTATCAGAGCTCAGTGAGCAGCAGTTTCTGGGGTGAAGCACTGCAGCAGCTCAGAAGTGTACAGCAAAAAGCAACAGCTGGGCACAAGCCACATAGCCTGATAAGCTTTGCCAGAAAGACTCAGAAAGGCAGCATTATAAGGCACTTTTAATACCACCAATATGCCAAACTCAAAGCAGAAGGGCTTACTCATTTAAGCAAGGGAATACAAATATAACCACGTATAAGCAGCTCACCACTGTCATTTCATCCCATCCTGTCACACACACACAGAGAAACTAGAGCTACATGCATCTATCCCCTGCCAAGAACAGTTTCTAAGGAGAGATTACCATGTGTTATCATCCTGAAATGCATTAATTTGATCAAGGGAAGTTATTAATAATGGCCAACTTCTTTAGCAAATTTCAACCTCATTTGCTGTCAGTATATTATCTACAAACATCTATAAATCCCAAACTACTGATGGCTCTGTAACTCTTGATACATTAGAGCTGCAGGCAGGGTCCTGAGAGTATGAACAGCCCTTTTTGTCCCATTCTGACCTCTCCTGGAGACACTCCTACCTCTGCCTGTGGCCCAGGACCCCATTTTACCCCATGTCCTAATGTGTAGCACTGCCAGTCTTCAGCTCCACACAGCCCTGAACTGCCCGGCCACGGAATCTGCTGATCCTGTCCCCAGCATGTGGTGGGGGCTTATGTCCCAGACTGGGCTCAGGGATTTGCTCCAGATGCTTCATACAGATGATTTCTGTTCCCTCTCAGCCCTCCATGAGTACCACTGCTACAAATGCATTTGCTAATACATTTTCTCAAGATTACTTGCACAGCAGGGACAGGTGTCCTTTAGTGTGGCATGTGATCAGCTTTCTTAAAAGAGGTCCATTAAGAATAAATGAACAAATTTATTTACAAAGCATTGAAAATGCAAAGGAAAACATGATAAGTAAAATTCAGGGCAGTGAGCCAAATCAAATATCATCCAGCTGAAAATAAGTATCTAAAAAAATGAAGACAATAAAATGTCTTGTTGACATCTCAGAAGCCTCTGTATAAGGACAAGGGGGAGAGGAAAGCTTCCCACAAATGAAATTTGAATATCAGTCTGAGAAACCTGTAGAAAACTGGATACTCCTATTTTCCCTGTTCAGCCTGAGCAACCTGGAAACAGTCTGACTGTCCAAGAAGCACAGTCAAACATTGAGAATTAATTCCTTTTAAACTGCTATCCTAAATTCAACACACTGAATTTAGAAAGCACCCATCACCAAGTTCAAAAACCTTGGTTTTCATCTGAGAACTTAACAATAGTGAGATATAGGGGTGCCACAATACAACATAGGGGACACAAGGAAAGTTAATATCTGGGTGGCAGAATCATTAATTCAGTGATTTTTTTTTTAATGGATGCTTAACCTTTTTTCTACTAACATGTCATGAGGGTTGCCATGTGCAATTTCAGGATTTGGTGAGACTTGGGCCGGGACACCGAGTAATGTTACTAAGAAGATGGCTCAGTAAAGGCTGTAAATTTGTATTTACTTGGAATAAAACACAGGATGTCTGCCAGAGAGCTGCACATGAGTTTTGTGACAAAGCAGAGATATCTACAAAGTCTGCAGTACGATGAACTCCAAGATGACATTTAGCTTAGGATAAAATTATCAAGTACGGTAAGTGGTGAAACAGATGAACACATTAAAAGACTTTTTGAGAATCTAAGCTCAGCTGGGAGCTGTATTTAATTCCCTTCCATAAATTATATTTAGCCAATGTTCTTCACAATTCTGCTGCTGTAATTAGTGCATGCTTTCGGGGAAAAAATTATTGAAGATAGGTCTTCTTGAGAAGACATTTCTAAACATCTGAGTATCAAAGCAACAGTGAAAGAAACAAGGAGACTTTTCCCATGCTGAGTCTGCAACCTGAGCACAGAGGTAGCCAAGTGCCCATGGACAGCTAGGAATTATTGGGAGACACCATCTTCAATGTGTCGCTTGGCTTTCTTTTCCACCACCACCCCTCCCTTCTTGTTTTTCTTAGGTTGTTCCTATCAGTAACCCCAAAGAATATATCTGTCAGTTTGTTCAGAAGGCGAAAAAATAAGCTCTCCTCTGAACTGCCAGCCAGGAGGATTATAGTAGCCAAAAAAGAGTCTTTAATGGAAAGAGGAGAAACATTCCACGAAAGAGATGTCTCCCAATTAATAATGTCTGCACTAAAAAGCATAAAAGAAAGAAAGTTAGCTTAAACCAGAACTAGGATCCTACGGAAGGAGTAACAGTTTCTGTTTTAACAATTCCATACAATCACAGAATTGCAAAATATTCTGAGCTGCAAGGGACCTGTAGGGATCATCAATATCCAGCTTCTGGCCCACCACAGAACAGCCCATGTGCCAAAACATCACACCACATGCCTGAGAGTGTTGTCCAAATGCTTTTTTAACTCTTTCAGTCTTGCTGCTATGACCACTTCCCTGGGAGGCCTGTGCCAGTGCCCAACACCCTCTGGGTCAAAAACCTTTCCCTGCTATCTAACAGCAAACTCCCCTGACTCAGTTTCAGGCCATTCCCTTGAGTCCTGCCACTGGTCCTGACAATGAAGAGATCATTGCCTGCCCCTCCACTTCCCCTCGTGAGGAAGCTGCTGACTGCTATGAGGTCTCTCCTCAGTCTCCTCTTCTCCAGGCTGAACAGACCAAGTTGCTTGTATAGTTTCCCCTCAAGGTCCTTCTTCCTTGACTACAGCTTCTGCAAACCATTCCCAACTGGTTAAGGATCAGGCAAAGATGACTGGAGAAAAATTTCTTTTCCTATATCCCTTTTTCCTTCCTTGTCCAACCTCAAAGCCAACACATGAGAGTGCAGAGACCTGCAGAGCCCCCACCAGCCTGGCCTCCTCCTGTCTTGGATGAGGAGGGAACAGGTGTGGTATTCACATTCTCTGAACAGAGAGAGACATAATTCTCTCTCCCAGGATTTTTCCTGGGGAAGGCAATGAGAAGCTCAGAGAAGGATGAAAACAATTCTCATCTCTATTCGCTGTGCCTGTTGTTTGGCACATATGGAATGTGTTATGGAGATTATTTACTGAGAGAGATTTTTTTAAATTGGACTCCGATTGAGAGTTGTTTGGGTTGATTGGCCAATTATGTCAAAGCTGTGTCGTGACTGTCTCCAACAGTCACGAGTTTTTCTTTGGTATCTCTTTAGTATAGTTTTAATATATAGTATTAGTGTAACACAACATAGCTTAATAAAGCAATTGTTCAGCCTTCAGAAATCATGGAATCAGAGCACGTTATTCCCTGGCTGAGGGTGCTCTTCTACGATAAACAGGATCACACCAGTGCCCTCTTCCTTTGCTTCCCTTTGGCAGTGAGAGAGCAGCGATGCTGTCCTGCTCCAAGAGGTTCCTAAAGCAAGTTCCAGTCAGCTCTGCTGTTCCTATGGGGCCCATCCTGGGGGCTCTGAGTATCCATAAATTGTATATCCATAAACCAATACTCAGGGAGGAATCTGCCATCCAAGGAGAGTCCTTTTCCTCTGGCATTCAGTGCATTGACATTCACACCAAATTTTACAAGTAATTACAGATACAAATAATTAATTTATAGAAGATGAAATCATTCACCCAAGGCAAAATGCCAACCAATCGCATACCTAAGCTTTGGGTCAGGAAGTGGAAAGAAATAGTTTTTCAGAGATTAACAATCAGATTTTACATGTTTGATTCATTAATTTTTAAACTGATTTTGAGGAGAGATCTTCAAAATATGTCTCAGTCTTTGTCACAAGCCCCTGCAATGAACATGACAAGAGAGTGAGAGTATGTGCTCTTCCTTTTCAAAGTGTTATTAACAATGAAATAAAATCTACAAAGACTTAGTGCGCCAAACACAACATACTCCAAGAAGAACAGAATTGTATAAAAGTCTAAAATTTAAACATGATGTTACCTTGGGCAATAATCATAGCTAAGATATTTTATAGAGAGCCATTCTTGTGTTCTCTGCAAAGTAATCATGAATAAATTACTTTAGCAGAAGTTATATGAACAAGGATATACATGGAAATATACAACTTACTTGCTCATATCCTGCATAATCACTCATTCCCATCTCATAACCCAGTCCAAAAACTTAATAAACTAAAAGAAAGAAGGACTGATAGTACAATTTTGCAGACAGCCAACAAAGTACTGAACTTAGGGTTCATTTTCATTGGTAGTGGCGGTCATTCCACAATCAAACCATATTAAGAGAAGAATAAAAAGTTTTTGCTTCAGGCTTGTCTTCACTGCTGTATCAACACCAGGAACAATCCTGTCATTGCTGCCACAGGAATACCAACTCCTGCCCACACACAGAGATCTCAAATCTCCTTTTAAACCATACCACAAATCCTTCAGACAGGCAGGGGAAAAGAAAACTGATAAACTTCCAGGA